ATCAGACTGAGTGTCTTTACAGATTCTACAGATCTGGTGAAGGTGTGTTAATGTGAAGCTACAGAGGATCAGACTGAGTGTCTTTACAGGTTCTATGGATCTGTAAAGACACTTTACAGGGTCCCAGGTGAAGGAGTGTTAATGTGAAGGTACAGCTGATCTAGCGGTGGTCATGACAGCGCTGTTGTTGTGATGAAGTGTCTCAGCTCCTCACCAGGAATTTAATCCTTTGGATCTCCAGCTCGTTCCAGAACTCAAACCCGTCCTGGGAGCCCGTCTGTTTCTGCTCTCTCTTCATCTTCTTCTTCTTCTTTTTCTGGGGTTCTTCCTCCTCTGGGGCAGCCTCCTCTTCCTCCTTCTCAGCTTTCTCTCCATTCTCAGCACTGTGAGAGGGGGCGCATCAGGGGGAGCAGGGGAGGTGGGCAGTGAGGAATGAGAGTGAGAGAGGGAAACAGGAGGATGTCACATGATGAGGAATACAGAGTGAAAAAAGAGTGAGAGGGAGCTCAAGATGGAGGGATAGAAGAGATAAATTAGGAGAGTTAAGAGAAAGAGATAGAGGGAAAAGCACAGAGAAGGGGAGAAGAAAGAGGTAAAGCATGAGGGCCAAGGTTACTCACTCGGCCTTCTCGGGCTCCGGGGGTGGCTCCTCTATCACCTGTGGCTCCGGCTCGGGTTCTTGTTCCTCTCCAGACAGCTGGGACACAGGGGACAGGCAGGAGAGATGGGTAAGACAGTGCAGAGAGAACAGAAGGGACAGAGAGAAGTGAGAGACAGAGAGGACAAGGGGACACATTTGACAGAGAGGACAGAGGGTCAGGGTTAAAGTCTGGACGAACAGGTATGGTATTGGGCAGTGTTTATGTCGTGGTGCGCCATGCAGTTTGCTGTGAACACACAAGTGTCAAGCCACAACACAGGATTTGTATAGTGTAATGCATTTATCTGCAGCATGCCCAGTGCTCTCCAAATGTATTCATAGCTCTGATGAAACATCATATAACAAAGATTTCTAGACTGGACATTGTTTCTTGCTGAAGAAATTCTGAAAATTCTCCAAAGCAATCTTAGCTGTACTGCATTACGTACTACAAATCATACTACTGTATAATTACATTATAATATTCTATTTAAGTGAGACAAATGATCTAATCTGTAACTCATTCTGCTATATACTGTATTTTTTTTCTTCCTACTTTATCATGGTGTCTGAGTAAATCTAGAGCGCATTAGATATTAGAAACATAGTTTCTAACTTTTCTGTAAAAGCTCTTAGTATTGGGAGTTTAAGCTTCAGGCACATTATGATCATGGACTATGATGTGTTTTGGCGATTCTTTCGGTGACCTGTCAAATATCTGCATTTTTCTTTCTTGTGTCCACATGAATGCCCTTGAACTTTATTTCTATGTGCTTTGACTTATAGTGCCAGTTGGAGAGCACTGCATTGATTCAGGCATCAGAGCAGGATCCGTGAGTGATTCCAGTGCAGAAACACTACCCAGTGCAGAGCAATACTGTGTTGTGTCTGTCTGTCCAGCTCTGCGCAGGAGCAGTGTGATCCCAGTGTGGAAACACTACCCAGTGCAGAGATACTGTGCTGTGTCTGTCTGTCCAGCACTGTGTCTGTCTGTCCAGCTCTGCGCAGCAGCAGTGTGATCCCAGTGTGGAAACACTACCCAGTGCAGAGCGATACTGCGCTGTGTCTGTCTGTCCAGCTCTGCGCAGGAACAGTGTGAGAGTGATACTGCACTGTGTATGTCTGTCCAGCTCTGTGTATGTCCGTCCAGCTCTGTGCAGGAGCAGTGTGATCCCAGTGTGGACACACTATTCAGTGCAGAGTGATACTGCGCGGTGTCTGTCCAGCTCTGCACAGCAGCAGTGTGATCCGAGTGTTAACATACTTTAGTGAGCGGGACAGGTAGGGAAGGGATGATCTTAAGAGAGAAAAAACTGTGTGGGTGAAGGTGAATTGATCCAGCATCTCTCTGATTAGCAATTTGGGTGTGCTTTTGCATTCACATTCCCCTACCATTTTCCTTTTGGCCAGCGGGGTGCCCTCGGGAGTAGGGGGCTCCACGGGGGTAGTTTCCCCGATATCGCCCAGTCCTCCAGGGGCATCAATGGATGCCATCCTGCCACCTTCCTTCCGATCCCCGAACATGTCCTGTGCTTCCTCCTCGGCTTCTTCACCCTTGCCAGTTTCCAGCAGGTCGCCAGCAGCGCCCGAGTCGAGCTCCTCACTTCCGCCAGAGTCAGCGGGCAGGTCGCCGTGGACCTCATCTTGCGTGGGGTCGGGCATGCTGGCCAGCAGCTCTGTGACGGTGATGTTCTTGGCTCCTTCAACCAGGCCGCCGCCGAACAGCGTGTGCCAGATGAGCAGGAAGAAGCCCTTGCACACGCTGTAGATGAAGTGCAGGATTCCCATCAGCAGAGTCCAGAATAAAGAGGCAAGCCCCACCACCATCTCTTTCAGCGTCATCTTCTTCAGCTTGCGGTACTGCCGACGAAGGTTGCGGAAAGTGAACATGCCCAGGAAGTGGAAGACACTATTGACGAAGTCGGCAAAGGCTGAGCTGGATTCTGGCTCGTGTCCCGACTCTCCATTCGCCTCTCCGCCCTCTCCTGCTCCTCCTCCACCTCCCACCACCTCTCCTCCAACGTCTTCCTCGTCCACTTCCTCCCTCCCCTCCTCCTCGGTCTCGGATATCTGCGAGGCGATCTGCATCTCGAAGATGGTGTCCTCGCAGAAGTTGACGAAGAGCTCCATCTTCTCCGACTCACCGCCCTCGTTGACCACGTCGAAGATGAACTGCCGCTTGGACTCCTTCACCTGTGGCATCTCCCACTGCGTGCGGTTGGCCTCGCTGATCTCAAAGTAGATGCGCTCGATCCTCTTGCTGGCGCCCATGATCTCGATGCGGCCCAGGAAGGGGCGGAAGTAGTTCAGCACGCTCTCGGCCTGCTCCAGGAAGTTCTGGAGGCGAGTGTCATGTGGGACGTGCTCAGAGAGGTTGGTCAAGAGCACGGCAATGTTGAAGCCAATGTCCTTGGCAGGCTCCTGGAAGCGGTTGGCAAACTCCTCGAAGTTAATCATCTCGTTCTCATCAGCCTCGGAGCAGGAGAGGAGGAACTGAATCTCGGAAGGAGAATACTGCTTCTGGCTGTCCATAGCCTTCTGGAAGTCCTTCTTGGAGATAAGCCCCCGGGGATCAGTAACATAGTCCCGGAAGGCATCCGAGGCCACAATATCCTTGAGCTTGAGGAACATGTCAAAGAATTTGAGAATCATCTCCACATTGCTGGAAGACTCCACTAGCATGTCCACCATCTGCCGGGCAATGGTGCCGTTTACCACATTGCCTGGAGACAAAAAAAGAGTTGGGAAAGGGAGAGCAAGAGAAGGATGGAGAAAGACAATGGAATGGGGACAAGACAAAGAGGGAGTGAGTGAAGGAAGAAGGGAGAAAGAAGGTGAGATTGATACACATAAGGAGAGAAAGACAACGGTGATAAGTGAGAAGAATGGAGGGAGAAAGGACAAGGATGCAGGGAAGGAAAAATAGGATGGAAGAGAGAAAGAAGTAAAGGGTTAATTTTAAAGTTTCAAGGTACAGAGGCTAGAGACAGACAACAGAGACAGAAAGAAATTGTTTTACACTGTAGCAGAGAAAGAGGCAGAGTAATAACGGGCATAAAGACAGAGAAAAAGAAAATGAAACAGCACATAGATAGCCGACAGACAAAAAGTGGATATGCCTTAGTACCCTGCAGAACTAAGCAACTGAGAGTCAGCAGACACTCACACAAAGACAGCGAGTCTTACCCTCCAGTAGAGACAGCAGCATGACCACCATGTCCTTCTGCAGGTCCAGCAATTCCTTCAACAGCCCAATCTGACTGGAGTCCTAAGACACAATACACACAACACACAGCGCACAGCACACTGTGACAGTGGTTCTATGTCGGCCCTGCCCGAGCCCCTAAACTACAGCTCCATGCAGGAGCCCAGAGCTCCTGGCTTTACAGTATCTAAAAATACTGGCTAACAAAGCTGATCTTGTCCAATCAAGACAACAGCTGGGTAGAAGAGGTGTCCAAGGCTTTTCCTGGAGGACCTGAAAACGTCACTCTATGTGACTGGGGGAGACAAAATACACAGCAACACCTTCCAATGATGCTCTCTGCTGCTGAACAAACAGACTTAGTAGTAATATACCGAAGAGGAAGGCCGCCTCAGGGGATATTCTCACTCAATTTTGCTCTCACTTTTTGTCTTCATAACCTCCTCTCTGGAAAATCAGGCGCTTTCATGATCAGAGTAGTTATCTTCCCAACAATCTTGAACAAGGAGCCGTAAAGGAGCCACAGCCCAGCATTGTAATCTTTGTTCCATTTTTATAGACATGGTCCTTGTGCAGTTGAGAGCATGTGTGAGGAACAATCCTGTAAACTGCCATGGAAGAGCCTGGCTTTTCAGGCAGCAGGTGACATTCCTACTTCAGACAGCAGGCCCTCAGCCTTCCAGGGTGGAGATGGGAGATGGAACTGAAGTGACACCTTCAGCAATACGTTTTTCAAAACTACAAGAGGACATGGCCCAGACTGGACCAGTGATATCTGGTATAGGGTTGCAGTATATATTGGACTGGACTACAGGGCTCAGTCTGCGCCTTAAGAGGAAGCTTTAATTGGTTGAGCCACTGTAGTGCTTCCTTGCCTATTAATACCCAGACTGATTCATCAGCTTTCCTTCCAAGAGCAGGATTATCTAAGAGGATGCCCTTCTTTATATTCTGGCAGAACCTGGAATGGCTCAGACTGCTGCAGTAGGAGATTGCCTGCCGCTGATCAGAGACCAGACTGACACTGGGCATGCTGGGCGTAACAGGGGGAGAGTCAGTGATCTCTGGGCCGCTGGGACCTTACCTCAGAGTGAGATCTACTCCAGAAATGATCCTGGTGTGCATTGTAATAACAAAATACACATTTCAATAATAATATCATCATCATAACAACAGAAGACAGGCTGACTGACAGGCAGACAGATGATTTACAGAAGGTACAGATCATGCCAATCCCTGACATGTAGCACAAAGTATTCCAATCTGATTAGCACACTTTCGCAACATGACTGGCAAAGTAGACAGGGATCACAAATCAGCAACAAATGGACATACAGGTCTATAAGCATACAGGGACACACTCATTGATCTCTGTGCCACAAGCACACTTTTCCTGCAGAAAACAGTATACAGTACATGTTGCTCTGAAGGACTTACAGTACATCCTCCTATGGCTGCCAAACTGGCAACACTCGTGACATGCAAGAGCCCCAACATTCATACGTGAAGCTGGTAAATTCACAGCTCTGCAAACAAGGCTTAGCAAAAATATAAACTGTACAGATACAGTGCCCTGCCGAAATAAAATCAGCATCTACAAAACTGGCCGAAATATCCAGTTTTGCAATGTCACTACCATACATGGGATATACAGCAAAAATCAGCCACTGACATGAGCATCTGCGTCAGGCTTTATAAAAACACGACATGGCAAGTTATTTCAGTTACTGCTGTGTTAGTGTACGCTCTGTTTTATAATTAGTGTTGTCAGATGGACATTATACCACTAGGTCAATGGTTCTCAGCTCAACAAAGCACATCTCTAAAATTTGGGATCTTCAGTGCCAATTCTCCAGATTATGGCAATTTTCACTTTGCAAATTACCTGATGTTTAGAGACAATATAAAATGGAGTTAGCCTGAGTTCCTTTCTCTGCTAGAGCTCATTAGTTTTTGTGAGAGCTGGCAGCAGTGCACACAGTGGCCCTGTGCTACTGAACCAAAAGTTCCCAACAGTTCCCAGCCTGCCAGACAGACAGGACGGGACAGAGTGAGGCCTGACTGTCGAAACAGGGACTGCTTCACCCTCTCCAGAAGCTTCCTACAGTACACTCCAACATGAACATGTCTCCCAACCCTTGCATTAAACCTGACAAAGCCACCCTTCACCACAACACTTCTCTTGATCCTAAATAAAAAAGCACTGCTACCTCTAACCAGAAGGTTCTGTACAATGCTGAACCTTTAATTATTACCCATCACTGAACTGCACTGTACTGCAGTGCTTCACACTGCTTTGAACTGTACTACACTGTACTGAACAACCCCACACCAGGCTGGACTAGAATTTTACTAAACTGTATAGTGCTACATGATGGATTGTACTGTATGACACTGTACTACACTGCAATAATCTTTACTGCACTTTGCTGTAGTGCACTATATTGATCTATAATATGCTGGACTGTATTCTTCTTACCTGCAGTGTGCTAATATTAAGCATACTATATTAAGCAGTAGTCTATCATAATGCACTGTAGCATTTCTCTCCTGTACTGTATCGCACTATACTGATAATCAATGTACTGTACCATTTAATGCAGGATATTTCACCAATCTGTCCCCCAATAAGCTGTTTTGTAACCTATGTACAATATGTTAAAGAGAGTACAACTTATTTCAGCTGTATTAAAGTGACACTTGGGTCACAGCGTTTCAAAAGCACAGTCAGCCCCACTCTGTTGCTTAAATCTAGAAAACGATCTTTAAAAGAAAGCGTCCCACACAAGAGCAGAGCAGGTGCTCTGATTTGTTTTCAGTCCTTATGGCCTCCCGCACAATGTCAAACAAGGACAATGAAGAAAGAAGAGAAACAGAAGCAAGAAAGGTATGTTCACTTTGAGAAAAAAGGGCTGTCTGGAGATCACTGCCTGTGCCCCCCTTCACCTCTGTCTGTCTCACCCTATCACTCTATGTCTGCCTCACGTTGTCCCAGTCCATTTTTCAGTCTCACCCTGTCTCTGTCTCCCACTCTCTTTCTCTCTTACATTGTGTGAGTCTCTATTTCTCAGTCTCACAGTGACTCTGTCTCACCTGAGAGTGATGCTGTCTAACCCTGTCTGACTCTCAGTCTCACCTTGTCTCTATATCTCAGTCTCACAATGACTCTGTCTCACCTGAGAGTGACTCTCTAACCCTGTCTGACTCTCACTGTCTCACAGT